ATGTAAATTGAATCGACGAAGTGTGTATAAAATTTTCGATCTGTCCGAATAGAAGTTTTTATAATTCATGCAAATTTGTAAGAGAAATTGGATTTCGTAGTAGCTCGCATAGTTGCGTTTGCGAAGCACGTTTCGGTGTTCGTTGAAGGAAGGCAGCGATGCACCGAGTGCAAGGTACCTACCTACCCTTGCCTTCTACATCTCTCTCTCTTCTCTCGGTAGATACGTACGGTTACACGGCGTCGTCTTTAAGCCCGGAATAGATTTAGGAAGCGTCGAGCTATGCGAGGGATCCTTGCCAAGTCTCTCGGTACATGAATGAGTTAGTTACATGCGCGTACACGTGCTGCGCTAATTTATAGCATCGCGACCAATGGAACGGTGCGCGAAAATCGTCGATCCGTTCGTTCTAGCGAAGGACTCGATCGTTCGTGATCGCAGTTCGTTCAGAATCAGTCCAAGTAATCTTGTAGCCCTGATAGAATTTTCTGATTATCTCGTAACATTATCATAACGCTGAGTGAAGAACGTATTATAAATAGAACTTATTTCTTCGTATAAAAGATTAAAGGGAGTTAAAGGGGTGAAAATTGAAAGGAGCTTTAAAGCTGTTTAACAAATAAAAAAAATCAGACAATTATTATGCATAGAAATGCAGTTTTATTGTTCTAAATCTGAATTAAAAAAATCAGATTCCACCCTCCGAGTTTCGCACGAGAAATTTTTCTTAATTGGAGATTGTGAGATCGTAAAAGCATTGAATCCGTCGCCCCTCCGTTCGCTAATCTTAGGCGAGAACGCAGTCATTCAGGTCCATGGCATAGAATAGAACGAGTAAAAGGGGAAGAGCTTTGTCGCCTGCCTCGTAGAACGCGAGGAATCGCTCCGTTCGGCTCTCGCTCGAATCGAAGTTTCTGAATTCGCCAACAGCTGTTCGCGTATCTCTCGATAAAACCAGCGTCTTCGTAGATTCGCGAACAGTTAATAAAGCTGAGCCGAATTTAACTGAACGACGGCATCACATAATTCGTTTTTGATATTATTATTAAAAATCGATTTTTTATTTATTTTTCAGAGGAGGAGCCGTTGGAAAACAGCAGAACGAACGGGAATCACTCGGTAGTGCCTCGAAGGAGTCCCGTGATCCCGAGCACGCGTGTACCGCCACCCTCGGCAGGCGCGAAC